TTTTAAGGATTGAATCTTGAATATTTGTCTCTTATCTTGGATTCTGCTGTAGGAAATGTAGGGTCTCTATAGTCTTGAGTATCTTTGGCAAATAGGTAGGAAGGTCTAAAGGGTCAAATCCAGTCTGGCAGGTCTTGGTGGGAGGAAACATGCCCCAACATGGAATTCTTTGGGATCAGGGTGTTAGATCCGCCCTTTATCAACCTTTAGAAAATTTCCTATCAGAAAATAAGATGGTTACAACAACCTTTGACCAGAACCCTCTGTTACTGGCAAACAAGAACTCAATAATATTTCAGCCTACACCCACAAATGGGCTGATAAGTTCACAGTGGCAATTTACCCTAATCAAAATACCCACCATTCTTGTGACCCTACCTCTCCACTCCTTCTATGTAAGGATAGCATGCCTTCTTGGTAGGATGAGCTTAAGTTTCTCTAACTTCAGACCCTGATAGCTGCTGCCCTGAATAAAACCCTCATGCTTGCATGAGTCAATTGCTCCCAGAGTCCTTTGTTGAATTGATGCAGGATATTGGGGTGCATAGGCCCATACCCAATGCAGAAACAGCAGCAACCTGATTCTCTGTCTCTCACTCATGAAGAATTAGAACATGGACAAAGGAGATAGAATGGAGTTTATTGAAGGAGAGAACACCTCTCAGGCAGGGAGGGGTCCTGGAAGGTTGGTTTCCAATTTGGAGCTCTCACCAGGAGTTTTTATCCTAGCTAAGAGGAACTTGTGGTGCATATGTTCCCTTTGTGGTGGGGGCAGGGGTCACATGCTAGATGGGTCCAGTTATTCTCCTAATTTTGTAGTGGGTTAAAAAAAAGGCTATTATCTTGTTTTGGGAATGTGGTGGGACCTGGAAAAAGCTTTAATTGCTGCCTAGGTAGGACCATTGAGGCACTGCTACAAGTTGTATATTCTGAGCAAGCAGTTTCTAGTGCAAACTTGAATATTTTGCCTCCATCTTTGGGCTTTATGTCTTGACTACCTGTTTCTTAGGGTTCTATCTCCTATCTCAGAATCTAACATTTTGGGGCCAAATGTTGGGTTGACTTAGTAGAAGTGACTCCCTTGCCAGTCCTCAACCCATTTCTGGGACTCTTCCCTGCTTGAGAGCTCTGTTCTTCCTTCCCTCTCTTAATAAACTCAACTTTGCTATCCTGTCTGTGTCTGCATCTCCAATTCTTTGTGAGCATGGGACAAGAACCTGGTCATCTCAGGATCTGGCACTTTGTGGAGCCTTATCACCACAACTTTCTGTGTCACTACCAGGCACATGATTTCCCTTTGCTAGGCAAAAAGTGTGCAAGTGCAACAAAAGCCCATGTGACAGACAATAGAGCCAGCTACAGTGACAGACCTCCCCTTCTAAATATTTATGACTAGATCCACAATAAAAGAAAGACCTTTTCCTCTCCGGGTTCACTTATACCTAATAACTTGCTGGCTCACCCTCTCTCAAGAATACTAATTATAGCTTTTACTTTTAATGTTTTTTTTTTCTTTTAAGGTTTTTGCCATAGGGCACATGTGCTCACTCCAGAGAGACAGAGAGAGACACTGAATGGGAAAGTGATTAAATCGCTGCCCCCAAGGAGAGATGGCCATGGCGCAGTCCCCTCTCCTCCATTTTTCTCTGGGATTTTGGGCACACAGGAAGATGCACCCATTGCGGTTTTCAAGCCTCCAGGTCCAAGATTCAAACAATGGTCAACCATGTGGGAGTCCACGGCCTTAATCACTATACCACCTGCTGACCACTTTAATACTTACAGCTGTGGCTTATTTGTGTTTCTAAGTGGGTCTCTAATTATAGATATCTATGACTAAAAAACAAAAATTTCATCACAATGCTTCCCCTCTCATAAGATGACCATTCACAAGACCCCAGAATTGAGGAGCCATGAGTGTGCCGTGCCATCCTAAAGAAATTGCTTTGAGGCCCAACTGTTTCAGTGTGTCCAGGATATAAATCATAGAGTTTCAAGAATAAATGTCTGCTCTCTTGGGTTTCAGACTTGCTTGAGCCTGTTATTCCTACCTTGTGGAATGGAAATTTCTTTCACAGATTCATTACCTCATTGTATTTTGGCAGTATGTTACTTGTTTTGACTTTAGACTCAAAACTGGAAAGAATTTAACTTGAGTCTCAGGTGAAACTATTTTCATACTATGAAGTCCAGAAGACTGAAGTGAAGGTGTCAGTGGGACTGTACTCCTGGAGAAGGGATATTTTTCAAGAATATTAGTCCTTAAATCTAGTTCATCAAAGCCAGTAGGTTTCTTTAGCCAATACAATCAGAAAATAAAATAATATAAAAGGCATTCAAATAGGCAAAGAAGAGTTGAAAATATCTTATTTGCAGATGACATGATGGTCTACTTAGAAGACTCAAAAGTTTCCATGAAAAAACTTCTCGAAGTAATAAATGAATACAGTAAAGTGTCAGGATACAAAATCAACATCCAAAAATCTATAGCATTTCTATATACAAACAACAAGTTGAATGAGGTAGATATGAAGAAAGGAATCCCTTTTACCATAGCCACAAAATGTATAAGATGCCTAGGAATAAACCTAACTAAGGAAGTCAAAGACCTTTACAAAGAAAACTATGAAAATCTTTTAAAAGATATTGAAAATGACACAAAAAAGTGGAAGGACACCCCATGTTCCTGGATTGGAAGAATTAATATAATCAAAATGGCAATTCCACCCAAATTAATCTACATATTTAATGCAATTCCAATAAAAATACAGAGACATTCTTCACAGATCTAGAAAAGACAATCATATAATTTGTCTGGAATAATAAAAGGCCTTATATTACCAAAGCAACCCTGTGCAAGAAGAGTGGAGTAGGTGGCATCTCCTTGACCCAAAAATATACGATAAAACTGTGATAATTAAAACAGAATAGTATGGGGGGGGGAACCAGACAAGTGGACCAATGGGATAGAATAGAGACCCAAGAAATAAAACCCAAAACCTACAGCCAACTGATTTTTGACAAAGGATACCAGTAAATTTACTGGGAAGAGGAAAAACCTCTTTAGCAAATGGTGCTGGAAAAACTGGATATCCACCTGCAAAAAGATGAAATTGAATCTCCATCTTTCAGCATTAACAAAAATTAACTCAAAATGCAACAAAGATCTGAACCTAAGACCTCAAACTATAAAACTACTAGTGGAAAACTCTGTGGAAACTCTGGGAGACATTGGGGTAGGCAAAGACTTCTTAAACAAGACTCTCAATGCATGAGCAATAACCCCTAAAATAGACAAGTGGGATTATATCAGATTATGAAGTTTCTGCACAGCAAAAGACACAGTAATTAGTGTGAATTGATAACCCTCAAAATGGGAGAATATTTTTGTAAACTATGTCTCAGATAAAGGATTGATAACCAGAATACACAGGGAACTCATGCAGCTTACCTGAAAAAAAAAAAAAAAAAAAAAGAAAAAAGAAAAAAATCAAGCCAATCAAAAGATGGGCAAATGAGTTGAAAAGACACCTTTCCAAGGAACACATACGAATGGCCAAAAAGCATATGAAAACACACTCAACATCACTTATCATAAAGGAATACAAATCAAAACAATGATATACCACTTAACTACAGTCAGAATATCTAAGATTAAAAAAATAAAGAATGATAAGTGCTGGCGAAGCTGTGGTTAAAAGAGAACACTCTTAGACTGTTTGAAGGAATATAAATTAGTGCAACCACTGTGGAGAACAATTAAAGAGGTTCCTAAGAAATCTAAAAATCAAACTACCATAGGACCCAGCAATACCACTCTTAGGCATTTACCCGAAAATTAGGAAAACAGTCAATTGGAAAAACACTTGCAAATCCATGTTTATTGCAGCATTATTCACAATTGCTAGGATATGGAATCAACCCAAATGTCCAAGAACAGATGAGGTATCTACTCAAAGGACAGGAGAATGCTTAGTCAGAAAAGCACTTGCATGTCAATGTTATTCACAATTACTAAGACCTGGAACCAACCCAAATGTCTACACACACATGAATGGATTGAAAAAGTGTGGCACATATAGTCTATGGAATACTATTTGGCCATAAAAAACAAGATCCAGGCATTTGATAGAAAATGGTCAAATATGGAAGATTTATTGCTGAATGAAGCAAGTCAGGCTATGAAAGAAAGATATTGTATGTATTCACTTAATATATACTGACTATCTGTACTCTATGGTAGAGATCGAAATATTGGAGGGTATAAAAACAGTGAAAATAGTTATGGACGCTGAAGACAGTATGGAATAGGGGTGGGGAGGGTGAGAAGGGAAGAGCATAGAGAAGGAAAGCACGAGAATGAATAGAGAGGCATGATATTTGTGGGACACAGAAATAGTTTATTACTTGTTGATGATAATATGTATAGTATTCTCAACTAGACTGGCTGAGAAGTATTTCATGTTAGGTAAATTCTCTTTACAAGCCAAATGATGTATAGTGAGTGAATGTAAAAGAATTAAAACAAACAAAAAATAATCTTTTTTTTAAAAAAGCCCTACAGTAGGTTTCTTCAAAAAGCCAGTCTCGAAGTCTCTCAGAGAGAGCAAAAGCTATCTGATATTTTCTTAGAATTTTCATTACTGGGACCAGCAGATGGTTATATTGCCAGACTCCCATGTAGTCGACCATGGTCCCAGACCTGGTGGCTTAAAACTCACGCCAGGCACGTGAGTGTATGTGCCCAAAATCCTGAGAGGAGACTAGAGGAGAAGGGACTGTGCATGGCCAACCCCCCTGGGGGGTGATATATTGCTTTCTGTCTCTGTCTCTCCGGCAAGCATACATGCCCCATACAGGAAAAATAGCTCTAAATTTTTTTTAAATTGCTAACCTTGAAAAGAAACATATTAACAGCTGTTTTGTGATAAGAGGATGGTTTTTCTTTTTTTTCTAATCTCATGGCTCTAAAAATCTGTGGGAAGATTTTTATCTAATTGGACTCTACCTCTGTCAGTGGGAGGAGTTATTTAAAATGAGTATCTTATAAAGACATCAGGAACTGATACTGAGTAGTGACGCCAAGAGGAAGACAGATTTTAATAAGGTAAGCATTGATCTTAGAAATCTTCAGCCATTGTCTAATACCCTCCCTTCTAAGGTACTAGAAAACTACTTTAAAAAGTTTCCTTGGCACCAGAAAAAAAAAAAAATCTGTCTTTTTACTCAGTTATGTCTTTGTTTTGTGCTTAGATAACAGTTCAAGAGTTGCTAATTCAGTTTCTGTTGGATACACCTTTACAGAAATTAAGGGTTTAAAAAGCGAGGGTGTTAAGGGAATACCATGAAATATGAGAAAAGTTAATGATGTGAGAAGAAAGGGATAGTAGCGTTTTAGGTAAATTTAGAATATGACCAGTGTAAGCAAATATAAGAGAGTATGACAATGTGGTTTTCTCTGTAGAAGTAGCCACACAGTTGTTATGAATTGTGATACTATAACACTAAGCAGACTGAGAATTCGAACTAAGATTTATTATAATAGGAATAAATTATCCCTAATGACAGGAGAACTGTAATCTAACTCAATCTTTGTCTCTAATGACTAGAAGACAAGTCACATTCTCAGGGGAAAAACCAACTTGTGGCAAATCTAGAGAATGGCTGAGGTGGGGATCCATAGTCTCAGCACTAATGCTATATTGGATGGGGTGACTTCTTGTTGTGGGGCTGTCTTGTCCATTGGAGGACATTTTTATTCTTATTTAAATTTTTAAAAAATAATTATTTTACTCAACTTTATTCATTTATTTTAATTTGACCAGAGAGGGACAGAGTGAAAGAGAGAGAGAGAGAGAGAGTGAGAAAGCAAGCCACCAGGTCCTGGATATACACAGCGCTTAGCCAGTCCAGTGCCTTTAATCACCACACCACTTGCCGGCCCCACTGGAGGACATTTAGAAGTATCCCTGGCCTCACCCACTTGATGCTGTAGCATTCCCCTCCTCCCAGTTGTGACAATGTCACAGGCATTGTTAGATGTCTTCTGGGGCAGAGGAGCAAAATCATCCTGGCTGGAAATCACTGGACTCCATGACTCAAATGCTAAAACGCTGACATCTTGAGGGGAGAACTAGCAATCACTGCAGCACATAGCTATTCTGAAATGGAAGGGTCAACAGTGCCCTGGGATTAATGTTAATATTCGAAAAAAAGAAAATTCTTTTATAGGAGAAACTAGAGTTTAGGAAGATTCTCTGCAAATGCAGACTTTGGAGCTGCTTAGGGCCTAACAGAAAAATGTATTTCCTGTAAAAGAAGATACTGACATGACAGTGAGAAAACACATGTTGTAAGATGCTTCAAAAGGGAATGTTTGGACAAGGGTGACCTGTGATCTTAATTTGAAGGGCTGGAAGGCTAACCCTGGGGGTTACACAATCCATTGATCCCAGAGACTGAGATGCTAACCGGGAAGGCAGGAGCTCACCAGGACAGAAGGGGCAGGGTCCTCAGGTTTCTGAGCCTGGCAGCCTGCTCACCACACTGACTTGCTTGGTTAAAAGAATCCTAATTCCTGGGTGGGAATTCCCAGAAACTCATTACAGTGAAGTCATTGCTGTCCATGATGCTCTGCTAGGTGTGTATATGCCTGTTCTTCTGAGCAGATTAAACCCATTAGGGAGGGACTAACACACACTGGTATCTTATTTCCTATAAAACCTCATATGGCTTGTTACACAAACACTTCCTAATATTACAGCTTTCATCTCTGACAGGTCCATTTGATTCTTTTTTTTTATAGTGTGTATTTCCTCTTCTAAATCTTGCAAGAATTTCCTCACCTCCTGGAACTCGTCAGTTCCTTTCTCTGCCTCTTCAGCAGTTCATTGTCTCTCTTCTCTTCCGTCTCTGTTAGCTTTGTCACAATGAATATTCTAAATTCTTTACCTAACATTTCCATGAGTTTCATTGTACTGAGGATGAAGGGTAGTTATTCTTTACCCTTAGAGGAGAGGTATTTTCTTACTTTCCCCTATTTCTCATGACCCTGCAGTGATTTCTAGTCATCTGATGGATGGTGCATTTCTTCCTAATTCTTGAAGTTCAGTCTGAGCGTTCAGAGGTGTGCAGAAGGAGGTGATCTGCAATCTCTTTTCTGTTCTGTCCTCGCTCTGTGCATCAGATTTGGTGGGAATAGAGGAATATTCTGACCCTACTCATATTCAGATGTTTGGATCCTATTCACTTGGACCTGTCTAGACACTTACTGCATAGTGACCATTAGAAATGAATCTGGAGGGGGAAGTCTCAGCAGAAAATCTTTATTTTTGGTCAAGGAGAGCAATATTTCATAGCTCAAGATTGGTATCCATCTCAGGATGGGGTGAATGAAACTTTTTAAAAGAAGGAAATCAGAAACAAAGAATCCAAGAAAAGTTAATAAAAGTCTGTTACGGGGCCAACAGGTGGCGTAGTGATTAAGGCGCTGGACTCCCACATGGCTGACTGTGGCTCGAGTCCCCTATACAACAGCTTGAAACTCAGGCCCCGTGTAGCAGCTTGAAACTCAGGCCAGGTGTGTGCCCTAAATCCTGAGAGGAGAATGGAGGAGAAGGGATTGCGGTGTGGTCATCCCCTGTGAGGGGCATTTACATGCTTTCTGTCTCTCTGCCTTTCTCTTTGTTTCTCTGGCAAGTGCACACACCCTATAGCAAAACAATCTTCTTAAAAAAAAAAAAAAAAAGACTGTTTCTAGGTAAGGAACAGTGTGTTGGAGAGAAGTGATCATTTCTTTAGATGCTGACTGTGAGACCCGCACTAATGCTGTGAGTACTGGAGAGAGGCAGTGGGGTTCCCAATCACTGTGACTGGAAACAGGAGGATATGCTCAAAGTGCCCACAGCACGGGGTCAGTAGTAGCCTGGGGCCAGCACTGAGAGAAAAGGCCCTCTCAGCAGTGGGGAGGACCTCCTGCCCTTCATAGGATCACAGCTGGTCCTGTCCAACCATTGCTCTTTGAAGCTTCACAACCTGCTGCTTCTTACTGTCCTTTCAGTATCTTTCACAGGGGCTATACTTTTTCTGTCAATTCTGCTAGGCCCTGGACAGCTCGAAAACCTGGATTTGAAGAGGATCTCATTAAACGCTAGTCTCTCCTATAGAAGAACTTTCTTTTTCCAATTATAATGTTTATTCCAGGGATATGATGAGATTCAGAGGTCTGCTTCTGTCTTGACACCAAGCAAGGCTGTGTTTAATGGTGCCAGTCTCCTTTGCTGAAAACTTCCTGTTAATCCAGGTGAAATGATTAGTGAATATCATAAACCATGAACAGGAGCTTTTTATAAAAAAAAAAAAAAGCCATCTCATGGTTTTTTTTAAGAAAAACTCTAGGTATATATAAAGTCTAATTTCTACTGGATTTCTGTGGGAAGACATACATAGGAATATAGAAGATAGTATATGATGAATAAAAAATAAATTAATTGATAGTATAAATGTTGCTGAAGTGAGCATAATAGATGAATAGAATGAGTGATAGATCAAATGCTAATAGAATATCTTACAAATAAAATGATAGGTTGGTAGGCAGATAAATAAAGAAGATAGATGGATGGAGAGATAAAAGTCAGAGGACATGACCAGTCAGTGTTGTGTTGGTTAAGGCAGCTGAATCCCTCATGGCTGACTGAATGGTTCAAGTCCCAGACTCGGTGGCTTGAAAACACACCAGGTGTGACTGGCAGTTAGCATAACGGCTATGTTGCCGAACTCCCATGTATGTAGCCAATCGCGGCTCGAGTCCTGGACGTGTTGGCTTAAACTCATGCTGGGCGCATGTGCGTGTCTAAGATCCCAAGAGAAGAATGGAGGAGAAAGGATTGTTGAGTGGCCATCCCCCCTAGGGAGTGATTTCTCGCTTTCTATCTCTCTGTGTCTCTCTGTCTTTCTGGTGAGCTCATGCGCCCAATAGCAAAAACCTCTCCAAAAAAAATAAAAGAAGAAGAAAAAGAAAACACACCAGTTGTGTTTGCACGAATGTCCAAAATCCCAAGAAGAGAAAAGAAGGAGAAAGGATTGCACTGTGACCATCCGCCATGGGGGTTACTCTCTCACCCTCGTTCTCTCTCTCTCTAACTATGGCAAATGCACACACTCTCAAGCAAACTGAAAAAATCAAGAGAGGGAACACATGTGCTCTCCAAGATGCCCAGACTTACCTACCCCTCTCCTGGAAACCAGAAGCAGCAGGGCACTCTATCTGCCTTGTCTGTATTATGAATTTTATAAACATTATTTCATTTAACATTCTCAACAGCTCTTAAATGATTGAGTTCTTTATTTTCAGAAGAGAAAAACGAGCTCATAATTTAAACAACCTGTCCCAGTTAATGGACCTCACAGGGAGGATGATGGGATCCAAACCAGGTTCTCTGGAACCCCCTTCTCTCTGCTCAAAGACAGTCTAATAAGACCACCCAGAGATGTGGCTCCTACAGTTTCCTCACGGACTTAGCACAGATTACATTCCTACTAGAACAAATGTGGTCGTACTAGTCCTTGACTGACTCAGTTTTGGATTGTCCAAGTAAGGCAAGGCAATAGTACTTCTCTTCTAATCAGGTCCCTGAAAAGCTTCCTCCAGAAAGGACCTCACCGATTCAGTGTTCTCCTCTCCCCTTCCTCTTTCAACCTTTAGTTGACTAAAGGACTCTGAATAGGAAAATAGAAAGCAGGTTCTCAGACAGAAACAGAGAGCATGCATAATGGTACCTGGTGAAGTGGAGAAGCCTTAAACATGAAAGAAAAGGAGTTCTTGCCAACTCTCACCAAGTGCCTGAGTTTGAGCAAAGTGCTCTGCCTCTATGAACTGCAGCATCCTCACCTCCAAACAGGATATTAGCAGTGATTGCCCAGGGTGCCATAGGAGCCAAGCACTCCCTAGACACGGACTGCACACGTGCAAATGTGCAAGACCTTGGCACAGCCCTGAGCCCATCCTGTTCTCATTATCCTGTTCTCATTTTATGATTAACCAGCAAAGCGTTGCGGTGACCTTTGTCCCAGGCTTGGCCTGGCCTTGGAAACCTTATTTTCAGAAAGTAGAGAATGTTAGAAGGAAAAGCTTTATGATAAAATATTATGTAAGACAAAAATTTATTTTCTTTTGTAACATGAACCTTAATCAATGGCTCAGGGACATGTTGTGAGGATTTGAGTCTCCTGGCTCTGTGAACTCTAGCCTGTAACAATTTAACACACCTTACACACTATATGACTTTCTGTTCATTCTGCTGAATCATGCTATGTTCCTCATAAGAAAGTGAGGTGTACACATTCTCCAATGACAAGACAAGTGCATAGAATAGGTATGTTTCTTTTTATATTTTTATATTTTAAATTTGCCAAAGGATGTGTATACTTGCTTTAGAGTGAGAGAAAAAATTAGAAAACAGGCTGCAAGTGAGATGATCACACCACAATGCCTTCTCCTCCATTTTCTCCCTTCTTTTAGGATTTTGGGGCATACATGAACATGTTCCTGGTGTGTTTTTTAAGTTGCTGGGTCTGGGATTCGAACCACGCAGTTGGCCATGTGGGATCCAACTACCTTAACCACCATGGCACTCACTGCTCCATTAGATCCAAAGGCAAAGGTAGTGCAGCAGTATTTGTTTTTCTAGCTTATTCAGTAAAATGCCCCGGGAAGGACTGACTATAGAACTTCGAAGAAGCAAGGAATTCATGTCCTCAGTCTGTGGAAAGATGTTGGACTTTTTTGTTACAGTTAAGCAAGTCTGAAGTCAACTTTTTGCTCTTGATTGAATGCAGCTGAACAGTTAAAGAGTTATGATTGCTCACTCCTGGTCCTCACTGTCGTGATGTCCTGTAGTTACAAGAATGCAACACAGGTTCCCACAGCTTTCACCTATGTGGGCTCCACTCACTTCCTTTTTAGTCCTGGGTGTGTATTTTCACATCATCACTCACTGGAGTGTGACTTTAGATACTGCATTTAACCTGTCTGAATCTTCATGTTATTAATGAAAAAATGAATACAGTAACAAGCAGATTATACGCCTCTTAAGGGTAATTATTTGGGCCAACAGGTGGTGTGGTGGTTAAGATGCTTGACTACCACATGACTAACCATGGTTCGAGTCTCAGACCTGGAGGCTTGCTTTCTCACTTTCCTTATCTCTCTGTCTCCCTCTCTATCTCTCTCTGGTGAGAGTATGTACCCCATAGCAAATTTAAATATAATAATAATGATAAATAAAATTGAAATAATTCTTAAAAAAAAGAGTAAATGTTGACCATCTCCACCTTAAAAATGTAAAAGCCAAAATGCTCTAAAATCTGAAACTTTTTGAGAACTGACTTGATGCCACATTTGGAAAATTCCACAACTAATCCTTGAGATGGGTCCATTTAAAATACTGCAATACATATAGATTATACAAAAGTACCTTCAGGCTATATGTATAAGGAATATATGAAATATATGCCAATTTAAGGTAGACTTGAGTAACGTCTCAGGATATCTTATGATGTATATGCAAATAGTCCAATAACCAAAGAAATCTAAAATCTGGTCCCCAACGTTTTGGATAACAGGTACTCAACTTGTCCAAAAACTAACATTGAAAGGGACTAGTATTGGGGCCGGATCATTGGGAGCTATTCAATAAATATTAGTTTCCTTGTTTCTCCTTCTTCCTCTTCTCATTAACTAGATAACGTACATTATAACCACAGCCACTCACTCATTAGCCTGCCAAAAACAGTGGCATTTTTACCAGTAAGACATGAGACTGCTTTGGTACAATCTTAGGATGATTTCTGTGGTAACGCTTTGGGCCAAGGAACACATTCCAGGAACTCCTCCAACCTGCCATAAAGAAGGCAGATACTGGGGCCAGCAGGTGGCGTAGTGGTTAAAGCACTGAACACCCACATGGCCAACTGTGGTTTGAGTCCTAGACCTGGCAGCTTGCTTTCTCACTTTCCCTTTCTCTTTCTGTATCTCTCTGGTCAACTTAAAAACAAATAAATAAGGTGCCAGCAGATGCCATAGTGGTTGTGTCCCTGGACTCCCATATGGCTGATTGCGGTTCGAGTCCCAGATCCAGTGGCTTCAAAATCACTCCAGGTGTATGTGTGGCCAAGATACTGTAGTAGGGAGAATGGAGGAGAAGGGATTGTGGTATGGCCATCACCCCAGAAAGTAATTTCTCACTTTCCCTCTCACTGTCTCTGTCTCTCTCTGGCAAGTGCATATACCCTAAGGCAAAAACCTCTACCCACCCCCCCCAAAAATGAATAAATGATAAATTAAATTCTTAAAAAAAGAAGGCAGATACTTTTTCACTATCAATAGTGTTTTTCAATTTTTCAACCGTACATACTAAAGTGTATTTTTAATTCCATGTTTCATTCATTTGTTCATTCATTCATTCATATTTAGTGAAACCAAGAAACCACTAACATGGCGGCAAAACCCAAACTTCACTACTTCAATGCACGGGGCAGAATGGAGTGTATCCGGTGGCTTTTGGCAGGAGCTGGAGTAGAGGTAGGTTTTGAGTTGGGTCATCTAAAGTTAGATATAAAACTGACCGTATCAAATACTTTTCTCACATAAACAAGGGGTTCCTGTTGTCAATGAGTCTTTGTGGGTTTCTATTCACACTTGGGACAAAATTAGTTTCATTTATCCTTGCAACTAAATGAATGATCTGTGAAAAATTGTGCCTTAAATAAAAGTTGCCAATTATTTAGGAAGAGATGAATATATTTGACATGGTAAATTGTTTAAATTTCTTCTCATCTCATAATGTAAACATCAAAATAAATTTAAGAAACTGTCACAACCTGTCGGCCTTATTTGGCTTTGAATAAGCTATAAAAATAATTTATAGCATCTTTGTAACAATCACAAACAAATATTGTTTGAATATTGATGACATTACAGAATTTACTATTTATGGGTTAAGTGTATTAATGTATTGTGGTTTTTAAAAAGTAGTAATGTTTTGGGTAACAATGCCATACTTAAAGATGAAATAGATGGTATCTGAGATTTCCTTTAATCATTACCAGAGGGGTAATATATTGGGTCATTGGGAAAGTTATGACACATTTCTCCACAGAAACAATGCATCATAATTTTCCCAACAACCTAATAGATGAAAGAACATTGGCTTGTGTTGATAATTATTTAAGTTATGTGAGGGCTACAAGGAGGCTCCTTATACATTTCTGTTTATTTCTATATGTGTTAGAAATTTTCATAATAAAAGGATAAAAATATGTCATAATTGAAATTGAATGTAATTAAAACTCCAAAAGGCAAACAGGAAGATATGGATTATAAAGGACTGCTTGTTAAAAATGAAATACATTCTCTGAGCAATTACTTTATTGAGAACCAGTGCCAGGTTCTGTGCTAGGTCCTGGGGATAAAGGGTGAACAGGACAGACATGGTCTCTGAGGATGCAGACCAGTAAATCCGTGATTCAAGGGATGGGTAGGAGCATCTGGGAGAACACACGAGCATAGGGATAAAGAGTGAACAGGACCAGTAAATCTGTGATTCAAGGGAGGGGTAGGAGCATCTGGGAGAACACACGAGCATTTGACACTGTGAAACTTCCATATTTTTTTCTTATAATTTACTTATTACTATTATTATTATTAATGCATTCAATCGCTATGTATCATTTAGCTTGTAAAGAGACTTTGCCCGGCATGATATATATCTCAGTTCAGCTGAGAAATCTGAATGAGGAGTGCTGGTAGCTTTCTGGGTGACTGCTGAAAGGTGCCCTCTAGAGGATTCACTGAGACCAAAACCTCTCAGAGACACCCAGCAATCCTGAAAGGGGAGTTTCCTGGAGAGTGAGTCCTGGGCTCTGCTGCAGATCTTGTCCTTAAACTGGAAACACAAAAGGAGGGTCTGAGGAGGAGCTGGAGTCCTGCGGAGGAAAATTCTAGTGCACTCCCTTCAGCCACCCCGTAGCACCTAAGCCTTGGGATTGCACTGTCTCAATTGCTTCATGAATAGCCTAATCCTTCCTCAATTTTATGGAGAAACAGGCACAGAACAAAATCCACGTTCTGCTATTCTGGGTGATTTCCTTCCTAATAACGAATAATCTGTCTTCGCTGAGGTCTAACTTTCAGCTTCACAGTTCAGACTATTTTCAGAAGCCTGGTCTGGATGAGGCCAGCCCAGGAGGTGAAGTGGGTACAGATAATGCTCAGAGCACCCCAGGGTTCCTGTCCTCCCTTCCAGCTGTTTGCTCACTCTTCCTCAGCTTCTGGGTTCTGTGCCTAAAGGGTGTCATTACGATCCCATCCCTCTCCAGCAGCCTCACAGGCACTACCACCTTCAACAAACCTCCTGTGTTGACCACCTCCATCCGTTTTGTTTGTCTTGAACCGGACACTCTATCAGTTGCTGACATACACATCTCTGGTGACAGTTCCCCTTTCCATCCATCTCTCAGTCTCTGTCTCTCTATCTCAGTAAATAAGTAAAGTTTTAAAAAATAAATGTTTCCTTCTCCATAATATGTATTATATAGAGGCCATTCAAGTATGAAAGTCTGGAATGTTATGGAATGAACTAACCAGAACTTAATTTCTGTTTCTGCTTTCAGTTTGAAGAGCAATTTATAGAATCTCCAGAAGATTTGGAGAAATTAAAAAATGGTAAGAACTAATATCCTAGTGCCTCTGAGGAGGGCATGTAGTATCAGATATATATTAAGGCTTATTCGAATGTCTGCACCCTGTGGTGGAAACTGAAAGTCTGGGGGATATAAAGGCCTGAAAAACGTTGAGGATACTGGAGACAGTGTGGGAGGTGGGCAGGAGATGGGGAACAGTGAGAGGAAGGGAATCAAGGAGAAAAATAGAGACAAGACATTTAAGGGACACAGAAATGGAGGACTGTCTCTTGATGATAATGTGTATGACAATATCTTTTTTTAAGAATTATTTTATTCAACTTTATTTATCCATTTATTTATTTATTTTAATTCAACCAGGAAGGGAAAGAATGAGAGAGAGAGAGAGAGAGAGACAAAGTGAAAAAGCAAGCCACCAGGTCCAGAACTCGAACTGGGGTTAGCCTGTGGGAGTCCAGTGCCCTTAACTACCACACCACCTGCCAACCCCGACAATAGCTTTTACTAGACTAGCGTGTAGTGTATTTATGCTGGAAACATTTATTTCACAAGCTGTGGTGATGCACAGTGGTTGAATGTACAAAAGAAAATAAATTTTTAAGTTTAGTTAAGGTTTTTATTATCATTATTTTGACCAGAGGGTGCATGCCCTTGCCAAAGACAGAGACAGCGAGAGAGGGAGAAGGAGATGTCATGCAGCAGTCTCTTTCTTCATTTCTCCTCCTATTGGGATTTTGGGCATGCACCCACAAAAGTTCGGTGTGATTCTGAAGCTGCTGGGTCTGGGACTTAAACCACATAGTTGCCTGGCTACTTTAAACACCAGACTACAGGGACAGCTCTAAGTCAAGGTGTTACCACCAGGCATAGACTATATGTTTGTAGGGCGGTAGATGGGGATGGTGCAGATGGAGAAAAGTGGTTAAAATGTAAGGGGTATGGCTCTTTGACCAGCTCTGGCAACTTTGTAAGGGCTAAAAATGTTGGGGCCTCTCTGAGTATTTTCTAAGGTGCCCTGTGAAAGCCTCTCCCTGTTCTCTCTTGCTTTCTGCACTGAGCATTCAGGATCCCCCTTCTACGGACACTCAGTAACATGCAGTAGATGAAAGGAGTAGACATGGGCTCAGCAGGACCTCGAGTTCTTTTCTCTTGTGGGTATTGTTGACTTCAACAATGGGACAGTGTTGAATTGGTTGGAAGTCCAGGTGAGAGTATGAAGAGGGAGATAAAGAGCAAGGACCAGCAACTCTGAGGTCAGGAACTGGAGAACTGGAGGCCGGCCATGCACATGTTATCCAGGCCCGAGAGGGCCTACAAGAAACTCCTTTCGGAACTGACCTTAAGGTCATAAACACATGAGACTGAGATGGTCGTAATTTATTATTTTTTTAAAAGAGGTTTTTGCCTTAGGGTGTGCACAGCACATGCACTGAGCATGTTTTGAAGTTGCTGGGGCCAGGATTTGAACCATGGTTGGCCTTCTGCACTGTGCTATGGGCTTTTTTGTTTCAGTTTTATCTTCAGTCATTTCAATAAATATTTTGTTCTGAAAGAGTAGGACCCAGAGGCATTCACTCTCCTTTTTCTCTTTTTTTCAAAGATGGGAGTTTGATGTTCCAGCAAGTGCCAATGGTTGAGATTGATGGGATGAAGATGGTGCAGACCAGAGCCATTCTCAACTATATCGCCACCAAATACAACCTCTATGGCAAAGACATGAAGGAGAGAGCCCTGTACGGTACATTTTCTGTTCTTACAGCAACAGATAACCCAGGAATATTTAGATCCCCCCTTGAGTGAGCAGGGCATGGCTGGGGACACCATAGTCTTGCAGTAAAATATTATTTTGCCATAAAGAGGATTACAGCATGAATCTCTAAAATATTATGCTACATTAAAGACACTAAAGTCTACATATGATGCGATTTCTGGAATGTCCAGAATATTCCAATCCATATAGACAGAAAGTAGGCTAGTCAATGCTTGCAGCTGAGGGGAGGGGAGAATAGAAGTGGCTGCCAAAGCGAAAAGCATTGTAATTTAAATATCTGGAATGATAAAAGTTACAGGATTTGCAGAAATCTTAAGTGTACTAAAACCCAGCAAATAGTATCCTTTTAAGGGATGACAATTGTGCTATGTGAATAAATGTTAATTAACCTGTTATTTTAAACAATAATGTAGAAAGCCCTGTGTTTTTGTTTTTGAGAGATTTTTGCTATCAGATGCATGTGCTCACCGGAGAGACAGAGAAAAATGGAGAGATGGAGAGTGAGAAATCACCCCTTGGGGGAGATGACCAAGCTGCAATCCTTTCTCTTCTATTCTCCTATCAGGATTTCTCACGTGTGCCCAGCATGAGTTTCATGCTGCTCTGGGACTAGAACCGGGATCAACCATATGGGAGTCCAGCGCCTTAACCACTATACTACCTGTTGCCACCCCAAACCTAGTTTGAAACAACAAAAAAGTGGTGTCCTAGGTATATACTGATACTAAGTATGAATAAAATTGTACCATGCAAGGGTACATTTCAGGTGGGGTCTAGATTGACACAAACATGGCTATGAAGGCAAAACCAAGTGGTTGTGTAGCCATGTCTAATATGAATAATTAGAAAATAAAATGCACACCTTTGGGCATAAAAATGGGCCTGGGCTGTGTAACAGGACATGAGAGGGATCCTGTGCCAGGGACACGCTCTTGAGATTACTGAGGTGGCAGGTCATTGGCCGCATGAATCATGGTACATCTGTGTACAGAACAAAACCCAGCAGAGCCCAAACTCCACTGTAGTTCAGTGGGGGAAGTGATCCCACCAGTGTGACTGTCACTCAGACAGGTCATGATGCTTTTTGTACCTGTATTTAGTCATGTATACAGCAAACATTTCAGACATGAATTTACCCCAATCAGTTCTTTTAAGAAACAAATGTGAACACATAGGAAAGAGTCATAGTTCAGAGACTAGCACATATAGTCCACCCTCTGGAGGCCAGCAGATGGCATAGTGATTATGTCGTTGAACTCCCAAATGGCTGATTATGGTTCGAGTCCTGGACCCAGTGGCTTAAAACTCATGCCAGGCATGTGTGCAGGCGTGCCCAAGATCCCAGGAAGAGAATGGAGGAGAAGGGATTTCAGTGTTGCCATCTCCCCATGGGGGGAGGGATTTCTCACTTTCTCTCTCACTGTCTCTGTCTCTCTCTCTCCCTGGTGAGTGCATGAGCCTTATGGCAAAAACCCCTAAAAACAAAACAAAACAAAAACAAAAACAAAACCGTCCACTGGAGGCAGTTTACTCAGTCACTATATGATTCTTTTAGTTTTTTAAACTGTAGGTCTCAGGCAGGAAGCACTTGAAGGTTTGGTTGTTTTGTCTTTCAGGATTGATATGTATGTAGAAGGGATGGTAGATTTGTATGAAATGATCCTTCTTCTACCAATGACTCCACCTGACCAAAAAGATGCCAAGGTTGCTTTGATCAAAGAGAGAACAACAAACCGTTATTTTCCTGCCTTTGAAAAGGTAAGTGGAAGTTGTTGAACCTTTAAGGATATTAAGAATTTAGAGTGTGTTTTTGTTCTAAGAGGACATATTAGCAGTTTGGGCTGCTCTAACAAAAATACCATAGATTGGGTGGCTTAAACAAGAAACATTTATTTCTCCCAATTCTGGAGGCTGGGAAACACAAGATCAAGACGCTGGTAGATTCATATGTGGTGAGTCTCCTCCTTGCCTCATAGATTCCCTGCTTTGGGTTGTGCTGTCCCATGGTACAAGAACCCAGCGAGCTCTCTGGGGTCCCTTTTATAAGGGCACTAGTTTCTGAGAGCTCTGCGTTCGTGACCTATTACTTTCCAAAGGCCCAGTCTAATAGTAGCATCACACTGGGGTTAGGGTCTCAACATAGAAGTTTAGGAGGGACATAAATATGCTTTCTATAGAGGAGAATGAAAAAATAGGCCTGGGTGTCCATGGGGCATTGATTTTCACTTCTTTTTTAAAAATTTTTACAAAGAATTATTATTTACTGGGGATTGGCAGGTGGCATGGTAGTTAGGGGTGCTGGACTTCCACATGGCTGACCGCAGTTCAAGTCTTGGATCTGGAGGCTTGCTTTCTCACTTTTCCTCTCTCTCTCTCATTCTGTCTCTCTCTGGTCAAATTAAAATAAATAAAGTTAAATTAAAAAAAAAGAATGATTATTTATTTTATTTATCTTTATTATTATTTTTAAATATGCTATAGGGCATGTATACTTGAGAGAGAGAGAGAGAGAGAAAGTGTGAGAAAGTAAGCCACCAGGTCCAGCTTGTGGTTGGCCATGTGGGAATACAATGCCTTAACCACAATGCCACCTGACTTTCACTTCTAAGAAGCAATTCTAAATATTAATTGAACACCCTGACATTCAAGGCATTATATAAAAACATACTAGGGAGAAGAGTTGTACCAGTTATGCCAAAACTGAGCTTTTTCATAAAATTTTACTGATTGGGATGGAATCCAGAATTGCGTGTGTGAAAGAATTTCATGGTCATAATTAGAACTTGGGCTATGGGTGGCTCTAAGCCAGAGTACAGTTTGGATCTGATTATGCAGACTATCACAAGCTTTTGATTCAAGAGGAACATGATGAGAGTAATTCAGAAAATATGCTGGCACCCTGTGTAGGGGGACATGAGACCAACTACCCATCAAGAGAATATTGTAGTGTTTCAGGGATAGATGGGAATTATCTGGAATGGGATGGTGGCAGATGGTAAGAGAGAAAGAAACAGATGAACAGATGTTAAGAAGAAAGTAATCTATAGAATTAGGATATGACCTTCAGAATTTGAGGAAAGTGGCACAAAACTAAATACGGTTCTATCATTATATACATAGTACCTATTTTAGTTACTATTTCACGTTGAAGGCTAAAGGGATGCATTTAAATATCAAACCTACCTGAAATCAAGTTGAATTAAAACCATGGACCATAGGGCCAGCAGGTGACATAGTAGTTAAGGCACTGGACTCCCACATGGCTGAACACGGTTCGAGTCCTGGACCTGGTGATTTGAGAATCACACCAGGCACACGTGTATGTGCCCAAAATTTCAGGAGGAGGAGGGAGAAGAAAGGACTGTGGTGTGGCTATCCTGCTGGGGTGGGGCTGAGTCCTTACTTTCCCTCTCACTGTCTCTGTCTCTCTTCTCTCTGACAAGTACACGCACCTTATGGTAAAAACCTTAAAAAAAAAGAAAAATAATAAGAAAAATCCTGGACCATAAAAATGATGAAAGAGAAACAGGGGATTTATTTTTTTTTTAAAGGTAAAGCTAAACATCATTCATATAAATCTTTACATTATTATTTTACTCATTCGATTTATGCTTATTCATTACTTTCATGCCAATCCCTATGCGAGAAGAGAAGAATTTAAGAATTACAGATTCTTCAAATTAAAACACAAATAATAATAACAAAATTAAATAAATAATTCTTTAAAAAAAGAAATCATGAACAACTTACGAGACCCTCCCATGTTGATGTTGTAGGGAACATGACATGACGACAAGCTCTACAGCCATTACAGTATCAGTACATCTGTACCATGGAAACAAACAACCCCGAGAAAACATAAATGAACAATGTGTACACAATATACCTTTTGATGTGCATTCTAATGTGTACTAGCAATTTTTCACACTTGTATTTATATAGCTAGTGGGAAAGGGTATTTGTCAAAATGTTATATTAAATTGAAGGTGTTATGTATACTTTAAATTTTTATTCCTTATGATTTTATACTGCTAGAATTTGGGGGAGGGGTAGTGGTTTCTTCCTCAGGGCACGTGCTCTTGCTGGAGAGAGAGAGAGAGACAGTGAGAAGAAAAGTGAGAAATCACTCTCCAGGGGGGATGGGCATGCTGCAATCCCTTCTCTGCCATTCTTCTCCTGAGATCTTGGGCATGCATGCACCTGTTCCCAGTGAGAATTTCAAGCTACTGGGTCCAGGACTCAATACACGGTGAGCCATGTGGGAGTCTAGCAACATAACCACTATGCCATCTGCTGGCCCCTATACTACTAGAATATTGGGGCCAGATGGTGCCTCAGTGGTAAAACACAATGCTTTGTAATAGCACCCACATGGAGAGGTTCAAAGTCGGAGTCTGGGGTCCTCCCTGATTATGCCTGGTACACGGGTGCACATGAACAGGACTGCCGGGAGCTGGGGATGGGTCATGGCATCAAGCTATTGTTGGGGGTGATATCTCTTTGTCTCTTCATCTCTGTTTCTCTTACACATTAAAAAAAGTAAAAAAAATAAACTTAATAAAATAAATATTACACAGATTAGCTAGTGGTGTGCTGATTAATGCAGCTGGATCTCACATGGCCAACTGTGTAGTTCAAGTCTCAAACACTGTGGCCTGAAAAACACTCTGGGCATGCATGTGTGGATGCCCAAGCCCTGAAAGAACAGAGGAGAAGGGATTGTGGCATGGCCAACCCCCTGGGGGATGCTTTCCCACTTTCTCTCTCTCTCTCTCTCATGAGTGCACATGCCCTATAGCAAACTAAAAAAAATAAATGAATAAAAATAAATTACAGATTATCTCAAAAATCTTTTTAAGAAAACTTTGTGCCATCATAAAATTCAGAATAAATGGTTAATGAGCACCACCTAGATAACAAAATTAACTTTTTTTTTTTTTTGAGAGAGAGATTTTTGCTATAGGGCATGTGTGCTTACCAGACAGAGAGACAGAAGGTGAGACATCTCCCGCCCCCCAGGGGGGATGGCCATGCTACAATCCCTTCTCCTCCATTCTCCTCTCAGGATCTTGGGCATGCATGCACATGTTCCTGGTGTGAGTTTAAGTCACCATGTCTGGGACTTGAACCATGGTTGACTATGTGGGAGTCCAGTGATG